ACTCTGCAGATAAAGCTGAATTATATCTTCCTTTTTAGCAACCTTTGAACTATTGTCTATATTAGACTAAAACCATTGGAGTTCAAAATATTCCACAGTGGCTCTTAATCCAAGGATGATACTTCAAAGGAATCTGAGCAGTTCTGTGGGAGCCAAATTGAGAGCAGCCAAAATTAGTCTTCCTGTGCCTTTTCAGGATACACAAATCCAAACTGGCTTAACAAAATGCAAGTCTTCTGTTGTACTTGTTAAAAATCAAGATAGCTTCCCATTTCTGCTGTCCATCCCCATCCCATTTAACTGGATACCAGTGGATTTAACCACTGATAACATTTACTACAGGATAACTCATTAAAGGGAAGAATCCCGGAGAAAGGAGGGAATTAAATTCCCAAGAAGTTGTGGTACCAGGTGCATTTTCCCCAGGTTTAGTTGTCTGTCTCTGTAATTCCCAGCCCAGACCCCAGCAGTCCCCCTGAGGCTCCACTGGGAGATCAGGAACACCAGTGGGATCCAAACCCTTCATACAGAGGCTCTGCCAGCCTGTACAGCCTGATGAATCCTTTGTTTGTCTTGTTTTTCTGGAAATGTATTTTCTGGAGATCCAGACACACTGAAAGTTCTCCTGGTGGAGTGTTGTCACACAAAATAATGGAATTTTCTTTTAGGGAGTTCCCAAAAAGATGGGATTTTTGAGAGATCCGTGCCTTCCTGCCCTGCAGGTGTTTCTGTCTCTGAATGTCTGTGAGCTCCTGCTTTTCCTGGTTTTGTTAGGCAGGTCCACGTCCCCTCTGGAGCAGGGACAGGCTCTGGGCTGTGCCACCTGTGGAGCTTGGCAGGTGCGTTTCTGTGCAGTCTTTGAGCTCTGCCCACGCTGTGTAACATTCCAGCCCCACTCTGGTGATGAATTCTCTGCTCTTTAGGGCTGGAGGGCTGCAACACCTCGGACCAGACTAAACGGGCTCTTAAAGGAGGCCGAGTGTAACAAGGCTCCCCTGGAATTACCCAGCACATTAAGGCCAAATGAGCGCATCCTGAATTCATTAGCAATGATTACTCTGAGTGCCAGAGGAATTAATAATCATTAGCATTTCCTAAGCAGGGCTGCCAGATGCGGTGCTTGGGGCTCCCCAGGCTTCCCCAGCCAGTTGCAGTCATTAACTGCAGCTCTGTGGGCACTGCAGAGCCCCACTGATATTTCCAGTCCGCACTCCCAGTTCGGTTGCAGTCCAGCTCTAAAAGCACTTCAAAGCCCGGCACTGCCTGGCCCGGTCGCTGCTGGAATTACCTCCCTTATCCTCGTTTTGTCTCCGAGTGAATCTCCCTGGCTTTCTGCAGCTCTTCTGCAAGGTTAATAAACCTGGGAAGCTGCTGGGAGCCACCCAAGGGCAAGGGGACTCCACAGACAAAAGGAATGCAAAAACGCTGTGTTATTATTTTGCGCAAGCACATTCTCAAAGTAAAGATATCCAAGGCTTTGATTTGGCTCCTTAAAGCTCCCTCTGTTCCCAGCAGCATTTGAAGACTCGGCTGCTTTGCATATCAGAGGCAGCTAACTTGGAGGCACAAGGAATTCACTGCTCACTTTGGATGACCTTTTCCTTTGGGGATGAGCTTCCACAAGAGTTTTACTTCTCTGACAACTTACTCCTGTTCACTGTCTCCAAATGCCGCACACTTGGAATTTACATCATCCTGGTACATTCGAATACAGCTGAGCTTTTCTGCATAGCTGCTCCTTGTAACCAGCAGAATCAAATCATGGGATTATGGACTCTCCTGTCCATGTCTATATGGAGTTGTCAGCATTTTAGTATTTCATCATGGGACAGCTATCAATATAATTTGATCTTTATGGACAGGGAGTATAAAAGCTCAAGTACTGTTCATATAATCTGATTATGTCCTTCCTTTTACACAGGACTGGGCTGCTTTCCTTATCCAGTTTGATCTCTGTCCCAAGGTCCCTGTGGTGCTACTCTGCCAGTGGAATTGTCCCCTGCAAGTTTTACGTGAGCAGGAGAGTTTATGGCCTGAGTTCATGGCCCTCCTTCCCAAGGTTGTGCAGGTCCCTCTGGAGCAGAGCAGTGAGGACTGAGGCTTCCATGGCTGTGCCACCCCTGCCCAGCTCCCTGTGCCAATGCTGCTTTGCTCTTTGCAGCTGGGGCCTCAGCACTGGGGTCCAGCTAGAAAAGGAAGTTTTCTTTCACTGGGTTCAGCGATCTTGGGATTAAGCTGAAGGAGTTTTAATTAACAAACTAAACATCAAATATGTTTTCAGGATAGTCAGAGTCATTTTCACCCACTTTTATATCAAAAGTGCAAAGCAAACCCTGGTGCTGATGCAAGTTTCCCCAGGTCTTTCTCTGCAGAGCTGAGAACTGATGCATGGTCCATTTTTATTTTATTCTATCCTGAAAGCAAAACCAGTGAAATCTTAAAAGCAAAAATATATCATTTTTTTTTAAATCTGCACTAAAGGAAAGCTGATCCCTTGTCCTTGATTCCTGCTGATCTCCAGGTTATTGGCAAGGATGCACAATTGCCTGATAACGTTGACTGTCCCTCGGGTCGATGGCATCGCTGTGACTCAGGGGCCATAAAGCTCCATTTCCACGGGGTGTGGGCCAGGTGGGCTGAGAGCTGGGGCTGGCCTATAAAGGCAGGGCTGAGCCCAGCTGATCCATTCTGCTCCTCCAGCTGCTGCTCTGCTTCCCAGGCTCATCCCAAGGGAACAATGGCATTCTCAGGCAAATACGAGTTCGAGGGTGATGAGAACTACGATGCCTTTGTGCAGAAGATTGGTGAGTCTGGCTGGGATCAGGCACGGGGCATGGATTGGATCAAACACTGGGGAAAGGCTGGGAGAGCTGAGATTGTCCAGCCTGGAGAGGAGGAACCTGGGGGTGACCCAGCTGTGGCCTCCCTGTGCCTGAAGAGGCTGCAGGAAGGATGGAGAGAGACTTCACAGGGAATGGAGTGACAGGACAAGGGGGAATGGATTCAAACTTGCAGGGTGTAGGTTTAGATGGGATATTGGGAAGAAATTCCTCCCTGGGAGGGTGGGCAGCCCTGGCACAGGTACCCAGAGCAGCTGTGGCTGCCCCCTGGATCCCTGGCAGTGCCCAAGGCCAGGCTGGACAGGGCTTGGAGCACCTGGGACAGTGGGAGGTGTTCCTGCCATGACAGAGGGTTGGATGGTCTTTAAGTTCCCTCCCAACCCAAATTGTCTAAAGATTCCATGTGCATCTAATTAAAGAGCAAGAGCAAATATAAAAATAGGTATGTGCAGCTAAATAGCAAAGACCCAAGGTCCCACAGATGAAACTCCAAGCATTGCAAATGTAAGTTAAGGAGAGGGGAATATTTTATGTACTTTGTACATTTTTCCTGTGTATTGTTTCTTAAGGAAAAGAATGCAAGATTTGTTTTAGCAAATGTATTAATGTGCCAATATCTTTCTTTACATCAGCAATTTCAACTCAGAGCTTTGATATAGTAAAAAAATTAAAAATAAGAAATGAACAACAAATCAGATGCTCTGAGAACAAACACCCCACTACCATCCTTCAGTTCAAATTCAACTTAGATTTGATAAACTCTGTGTTTTTATTGTTTAAGGTCTCCCCAGTGACAAGGTTGAAATGGGAAGGAACTGCAAGATTGTGACAGAGGTGGTGCAGAATGGGAATGACTTCACATGGACACAACACTTCCCAGGAGGCCGCACCACCACCAACACCTTCACCGTGGGCAAGGAGGCAGACATGGAGACCATGGGAGGGAAGAAGTTCAAGGTAAATTCATGGAGCTCTTCAGCTCCCCAGCCTCAGGTGGATGTGGATTTAGGGTGAAAAGCAAACCTGTGTCAGGCCTAGTGAAGGTGTCCCTGTCCATGGCAGGGGGTGGAACATGAGGGGCTCTAAGGCCCTTTCCAGCCCAGACCATCCTGGGGTTCCCTGAGTCCATCATCGCTGACTCCTGGGCTGCCTGCCAGGACCATTTTCAGAGCTGTTAAAGAGTGATGTGCAGATCTGGAACCTGCAGGAGTTGGAAGATGAACAAGTGTCTGTTTAACTTGAGAATATTCAAGAACTAAAGCCCTGTACAACACACAATCTCTGTCTCATAAAATTCCAGCACCAGGCGTGCAGGTGTTTACAGAATCTGGCAACAAAAATTCCAGCAACCCCAGCAACATGAACCCTTTCTCTCTCACAGGCAACTGTCAAAATGGAAGATGGAAAACTTGTAGCTGATTTCCCCAACTACCGCCACACTGCAGAGATCTGTGGGGGGAAGCTGGTAGAGGTGAGTGCTCAAAGATCCAAAAACAAAGAAAATCCCCAACATTTAAAGTGTAGAAAAAAATCTTAAGTGAAGGACAGACCCTGAGCCATCCCCAGGGCTGTTCCCCTAGGACTCTGGAGCTCTGATTACACTGTCCAACCAAAGTTTTGGGTTGTTCTTTGTTCCAGATTTCTACTTCTTCTGGTGTGGTCTACAAGAGGACCAGCAAAAAGATTGCCTAAGACAGCAAGGCCAGTCTCTTCCAGTGCACTGAAAGCCAAAACTAAAATTAATAAAATAAAGTTCTGTCTTTGTCTCTTTCTTGGTTTTACAAACATCATCATGTTAATGCTAACCTCATTCCTGGGGTGGAACCAGATGAGATTTAAGGTCCCTCTCAACCCAAACCCTTCTGTGACTCTGATTCTCTGCTCTGAGGGACACCAGTGGTGCTCAGAGCACCACTCTGTGCCCTGAGAGGAGCCCTGAACCTTAAAAACATGACCTTTTAATCATTTCCTGTGCAGACCAGATGCCTTTGCTGTTAGAGCTGCCCTTATGGGACTGAGAGGGACTTTTACAACTCCAGCTGACCAAATTCCTGACTCCGAACTGGCTGGCAAAGCCCGATTCCATTAACAAGGACTGTGCTGGGGTGTGGGGGAGGAGGCCCAATGACACAATCTCCAGCATCAGTGGCACTTCCCAGCTCAGCTTTAGGAAATGACTGTTGGTTTCCATGCTTTATTATAATAATGCAATAACCAAAGCATTCTGCACCAGTATTTGAGTTACATGTCCATGGCATGTTGGAATAATCATGGAATACATAATGTGTGGCTTGGGATGGAGACATTCATGAGGCTGCCGAAAGCCTGGTACCCTGTGGAAAAGTCTAAATAGCCCACACAGGGTGCAATCAGCTGATAATCCCATAGGCAAATGTGGAAACATCTGATAATCCCAGACATGTCCCACGTAAGGCCACATTTTGTTGGATTGAGGCCCATTTCCTATTTTTTCCCATAGTTTCTCCTCCTACACTTCATTGACATAATCTTGGTCAGGATAAATCAAGAATCCAGTAAATAAACTGTCTGTCCAGTAGGGATCATAAAAGAGCCCATTTTGCTCTGAGTAAAAGATTTGCAGCCACACCTCATCCTCCTGTTTCAGCGCCAGGATGGTCGACCCAGAGGCCACGTCGTGGTTCCCGGTGTTGGCATCAAAAGTCTTGATCCGGTACTGGCCGTTGTGGACCAGGCCAATGGCCAGGTGCTTGTTGGCCAAAGTGATGTCGTAGGTGAAGTAGTAAATCCCTGGGATGCTGCAGATGAACTTCCCACTGGAAGCGTTGTAATGCCCTCCCTCGTTCATCAGGATCCTGTCGAACTTGATGGGCAGCCTCTCCCTGGGGTAGCTGGTGGACACGGCCACCGAGAAGGCCGACCTGGCCTTGCTGGCCCCGCAGCCGCAGGGTCCCGGCAGCCCGGGCTCACCCTTGCCCCCTTTGGGCCCTTTCTTCCCTGGAGCCCCGTTCTTCCCAGGACTGCCCTTCAAACCCTTGGGCCCCCGGGGCCCTGCCTTGCCAATGGCCCCTGCTTTCCCCTTCGGACCCGGCTTGCCAGGGTTTCCTGTTCTGCCCTGGGGACCTGGAAGACAAATGATCTTATCAGTTTTTCCTATCACTCTTGAGGGAATGAGGTGATAGAGCGGGTGGAAGGAGGTTAGAGCATTGCAACAGGGATTTAATTTAGGAGGAAGCCATTGGTGGTGTGAGAATCCCAATGAAATCCCACCGGGGCCTGGACATCTGTCCAGACTGAGCAGCCAGGGTAGGCAGGGAGCTGGTGTGGTAACAGTGGAGCTCTGTCCTTTTTAAGGACCAAAAGGCTGATTCCATTATCTGGCTCACTTGAGAAAAAGGAGGGATTACAGAATAAGCTTTAAATGTTTGGGTTTTACACAGTGGCACAGGTTTGTGAAGCTTTCAGAGCCTCACATTGAGCAGGTGAGTACTTTTGATCTCATGTCTCTCTTTTTTCTTTGCCTTTTTTTTAAACATTTAGCATGAGACCGTATAAAAAACAAGATAAAAGTAAATCTAGATGTGATTAAAAGCCCAGCCCAGCCCAGCTGGGGGATGAACCAGCAAACACCAGGGCCAGGGGCTGCCTAGGGATGGGAAGGGAGTTGGGCTGGCAGCGATTCGGGCTCGGTGGTATCTGATATGAGCAAAACCGTGAGGATTTATGCAGTGTCTCTTGACCTGCTGTTAGCAAGAGCAGATCGAAACGCAGCTGTGGCTGGAAATCTGCTCTGCAGGCTCCCGGTTTGGGGAGGGCGGAGGGAGGCAGCCGCAGGCTGGGCTCGCTGGCGCTGCTGAGGCAGGAGTGCTCTCTAGCGTGGCAGAGGGAAATCTCTGCTGTGCACAGCGCTGCTCCTGCTGCCTCTGACCCCGGCAGAAGCAGAGCACAGCCGCGCCTCAGCTCCGTGTGCTCTGCACTGGGTCCGGCATGGCCAGCACCATTCCTCACGGGGCTCCGGATTTCCTGGGAGCAGATCCTCGCTTTCCTTGCTCCTTGCTTTCCTTGCTCCTTGCCTGCCCTAGAGAGCCCTGAGCAGCGCAGGGCAAACCTCACTGCATCCCAGCATGAAGCCAGCAGAACCTGCCGCTGCCAGGACGGGGTGTGAGTCCGGAGCCCCTCGGACCAGCGGGATCACCCGGAGGAGTTTGCCATGAGTGGAGCTGTGAAGGGGCTGTTCCCCACAGCTTCCACCTTTCCACGGTCACGCTGAGCGCCTCTCTCTTACCTTCATCGCCGTGCTCGCCTTTGTCCCCGTCCTGGCCGTCCTTGCCGTCCTTGCCTGGGAAGCCCATCCTGCCCACGGTGCCGGGGGTGCCGGGCACGCCGGGGGGCCCGGGGGGCCCGGGGGGCCCTGGCAGGCTGCAGGCCAGCTGGGCACCCTCCTGCAGCTCCCGCTTGGCAAAGCCCCCCAGGATGTGGTTTGCCACGCAGGGCACAGTCCAGAGCAGCAGCACAGCAGAGATCATGGCACAGCCTGTGGGGAGCAGACGGGATAAGGGACCAGCTTGTGGGCACCGCTGGCATGGGCTGGTGTAGGAACTTGCATGAAAATGAGAGATTATTTGGCTTGTCCTGGCAGAGTGAGGAAGATCTTTGGTGTGATGTGATTCCAAGGACTTGGCCCACGCAGTTTTCTAGGTCAGACCAATATTTTTATCAAACTTACTCTTCTCCAAGTCTGTATCTGTGGCCATCCCTCATTTTGTTTTGCTCCCTGAGCCTCTTTTCCTCCCAAACACCAGGAGCAATGGCAGAAGGGTGCAGAAAGCACCTGCTTGGGAGCAGGGGAGTAGAAGGACAAGGGGCTTGGTGTGAAAATCCCCAGCCCGTGGTTGGGTCACTGGGTTTCTCCAAAGCACAAAGCCCATCATGTGATGCAGGGCAGGACTCAGAAGAGAGGCCAGGCAGGCTTTGGGCCAGGCCTCAGTGCCTTTTGCCTGTCAGATGAGCTGAGCCTCATCCCCTTCCCCACCGCAGCTCAGCTTTAACAGCTCCCCAGTACTGTTCTATGCAACTCCTGCACTGCAAATAAGATGCTCAAAGCACTGGCTAAATTCCATGTTGGGCTTAGCTCTCATCCTGCTCGTAGCTCCTGAGGGGTGGAAATGCATATTTAGATGCTCCAAATCCAGCCAGCTGATCCTACATATTTATGCTCAGTAGGAGCCCCCAGTTCTGTGATATTATAATTAAGAACATGCAGAGGAGAGGGAAATGCAAACCAGATCCAGGGCTGGATTTGGCTGCTTAAGCCCTTTGGTTCTGCAGCTCTGATTTGCTGCTGCTGAAAGGCATTGGTTTAATGGAGTTGTGAGATGGAAAACACCACCCAGTGTTCATGTGGAAAGTTGAATGAAGGCTTCTGAGTTCATGAGAAGGGAAACAAAATGCCTGTGGAGTGGGAGATCACGAGGCAAGCTGCATCCCTGCTTCCCAGGAGCCCCTCCAACGGGGCAGAGAAGTGAGAGGTGTCTGGAGGTAGATGTGACTCACAAGCTGTGGCAGGGAAAAATGTCACTGTGGAGCATAACCTGGAGAAAAGCTGGGAATGCCTCATGTGGAGAAGAAAGGTGTAAGAAGGAGCAGAGAATGGAAGGGCAGCTCCTCCTGTGCCAATTTCTTACCATAATCACTTCTGATACCTTGAGACAACCCAGCTCACTGACCTGATGGCATAAAAAGTGGCAAATAAAATCCCCCAAGGTTGAGGGGTCTGTGGGACCAGATAAGTGGGGAGTATCCAAGTAGCTGGGGCTGTGCTCTGGCACGGCTCCAGAGCTGGTGCTAATTAATGGCTCCACAAGAACACTTCATCCCTTATCCCAGCAATGTGCGTGGGATGCAAAGCACCGCCACATCCACAAGAGCATCTATAAATAACCTCTTCAAGAAATCTTTTTGAAAGAGAACAAACCTCATGCTGTTCCACCTTAACAGGAAAATTGTTCCTCGATGTAGAAGGTTCGATGAGCTCCAAAAAGCAAATTGGAAGCAGATCAGCATCTCCCCTCTCCTTGGTGTGGGCAGGCAGCCCAGCACAGGAGGCTGTGCAGCAGCAGGGCTGGTTTTCCAATGACATTTTAACTAATGGCTTTGTCACCAGGGTTAGAGGCCTTTGGGCCATGACCAATGCCTGTTGTACATTAAAGAAGTGTTTCTGCCTGGAAGAGTCAGGATCAGCTGTACTTCCTGCTGCTTCCAGGGCAGCTGGGCTGAGATCCCAGGGGAAAATCCCTGAGGGTTGCCAGATGCAGGGTTTGGTGGCACGTGCAGTGGTTGGATGGTAATTTTTTGGCCACTGAAGCCACCCTGTGCAATGTGGTGGTGGGAATAGGAAACTGAGGAAATTGCTGCTTGGAGGGAGGCAGGAGCAGGATCAGGACCCAGCAATGAGCAATCATCGTGATTTTCTTCTCTATTTCCTTCCAGTATTTGAGGCTTTCTCAAATAAAACATCCATCTTTCTCAAATAAAACATGCCTCACAATTTCCTAGGGTACCTCAAGGTGTCTTAATTAATCTTCAAGATAATCATTATCCCCAAGATCCTAATTCTCAGCTCTGGATGTTGCCCTGCAGCGTCCCCGGGGTGGAAGAAAAAGGAGCCCTTGGGTGCTAGGCTGATTTCGGTGAAATCAGGTGTGACAGCAGTGACAGAACACCGGAAAGAGATAGATTTAGCTGATAGGGGCCAGGGAAGCACTTACACCGACCGGGGTTTGATGTGTTCCCTGCTGCTGCACAAAGCAACGGCAAAGGAGGCAAAGCAGAGGATGCACCTTCTGTCCTGAACCTGCAGCGCTCTCCTGGCTTCAAGCACCGGGAATTCCTGTGCCAAACCTCCCCTAGCCTGGAGCAGAAACACCAGGAATTCCTGTGCCAAACCCTTCCTAACCCCGAGCTCAAGCCCGTCTGGGCAGCTGCCCAGTGCAGGGAGGGCTGAAGGAGGTGGGAGCTCCCAGGAAAGGCTGAGGAATGTTTCCCTCATGGTGGTATTTCTTTAACCGGCAACTGTTGCCTTTATGGATTCCTGTGCAGGCGTTGGAAACCTGAGTGCTCAGTGACTTAGACCTTATTTGGGAAGTTTTCAGTTAACCTTACGACGAGGGAGAGGCAGAGAAAGGAAAAGTGGATCTACTCACCAGCCTGATCTCCTCAGTGAGATCCTGACAGGCGCTGGCAGCCCCCAGGGCTTCAGGCAGATGTTTTGCTGCAGATCCCAGCCCCGTCCTGCCACAGCAGGTCCTGGGAGGGCTGTGCAGGATTGACTTTGGTCCTTTTTATTCCTGTTTTACTCCTTCTCGTGCGTAGTTTGAGCTCCCTGCAGCAGCCCCACTTTGGATCCACGTTGCCAAAGGCATATTTTTATTATTGTGTAATGGATCTGTGCCTCTTCCTCAGTCACGTGGCACGGGAAGAGATTTTTACGCACATGTGGCTGGAAAGCTCTTGATGCTTGGGGAGCTTTTCTCTTTCTCCCTCTCCCTCACAGTCCTGGAGGAAAGGCTCAGGGGCTGCCTGGATCATTTCTGATTGATGCTGCCCCTCTGCTGCCCACACAAGCAGGGAATGGGTAACACTGATCCAACTGGGGAACAATTTTGACGCTTTATCCTGGAGCATTAAAGGGAAGAAAATTTTGTCCTACGGGTGGAAAGTCACTTGAAACACTCCTGGCTTGAATTTAAGGACCAAGTCATGCAGCAGCTCTGCAAATGCAAATTTGTACTTCTGCCTTTCTTCAGGCTGATGTGCATTACAAAATACAACTTTGTCTTAGGGGTGGCAGGGCAGGAATGCTTCTGTCTTGGGAAAGGATTGGGATTTTGTTTTAAGCTTGGAAAGTAAATGCAACCCCCAAAAATTGCTTCAGGTAAGGCAGGAACAGCAGGAGCAGCAGCTGAGGCTGGAGCAGGATGCTCTGGGATGCTGCCAGGGCTGGTATTGATCAGATTCCTCTTTGGTAGTGGATTTCTGCTCTGGCCCCACCAGGATCCCACAAGGGTGTGGGGCAGGCATGTGCCTGGTGGCAGGGTTCCAAACCCTGCCCTGCAGCCAGTAAATCCTTTCTGCTCAGTGCAGAACATCAGCTGATTGGGAGAGCATTGGAATTGTCATTCCTTGCTCTGCCCAAAATCATCCTTCTCAGAGCTGTTGTGGTTTATTTTTAAGCTTTCCCCCGTGCTTGCTTTTGGCACTTGGTGGGAACAGATCTAACATAAAAATGAAGTCTGTACAGAGTTGGCTTTGTGAGCTGGGGCCAGTTTAGATGCTCCTGGGAGGACTGGAAACATTTGGCTGAGGAAGCACAGGGCTGTTTTCGTGCTGTGCTGACAGTCCCACAGAGCTCCTGCAGAGCCAGCAGCCCAGCCCCAGCTTCCTGACACTGAACAACCTCCAGGGGAACAGCCCCCCTTCCCAAACCCGTGCAATCATCAGCTTTGCATTTCCCTGGGAAAAGGGCTGTTATAGAAAAGCTGGCTCACCTCTGGCACTGGGGTAAGCACAGCTGGGACAGACCCAGACACTGCTGCGAGAGCAGCTCTGGATATTGGTCAGATAGAAATTATCACTTTTTGTCTGTTTCTATGAAGTTTGTAGGAACCCAGATCTCCTGCTGGGCCCCTCTGCCTGGGTGTAGGCCAAAAGGCTCAAAGCATTTCGTGTGAAATAGGAAACCAGGTGAAAGCTTCCCTGGGCTTTGCTGCCATGCCACTGGGATGGGCCTGGGAAGCCAGAGTGGTTTCCTCAGATGGTGTGGAAAAGAAACAGCTCCTCTGCTGATCCTGCTCCTACCCCGTTGGCTCCTGTGCTTTGGGATGGATGTGACACGGGCCAGGGACGAGAGGATGCTTGGACACACAGCAAACCTGGCAGGCAGCTCCAGGCAGGAGCAGGGAATTCACAGTTCAGGGTGGTTTTGTGCCCAGGTCTGCAGCATGGGGAAGGCAGAGACAGCCTGACCTCGTTCAGCAGCATGGGGAGAATCTGCTGGGAAGCTCCTGCAGATGGAAAATCTGTCTGTGCTGCACAGCCAGGCCAGGCTCCACCAGGGTCCCAGACAGCTCTGCTGAGAACACTTGGCAGCACAATTTGTTAAATAAACAGACTGCACAGAGAATCAGAGCAGCCTGAGAATAATGCTCAGTGCTTTTTGTGTCACTGAGACACTGCAGGGGACATTCAGCAGATCTTGTCCCCTCTGTGCTGCCTTTTAGCAGAAGCCTCTGTGCTGTGACTCCCGTGGTGTCCCCAGGGAAGGGGCTGGCTCAGGGACAGGTGTGGGCTGGGGGTGCAGTCCCTGCTCAGGATGCACTGCCTGGAGTGAGGGGGAACAACTCAAATAATGCCCTGCTTGAAAAGCTGCCAGTGAGTGGAGAAGGGGTTCACGCTGCTTTTGGGGTGAATAATGCTAAAACCAGCCTGACCCATGGGTCCCAAAGTTAAACATCTGAGAGCAAGGTGAAAATGTGGTAGATGGTAAAGTGCCTGATAAAGGAACAAACAAGTGATGCTACCGACACCCCATCCAAAGCTGCTGAGCTGGCACAGCTGGCCCAGACACATCTGCCTGACAGCCCAGGCCCACTGTTTAACAGAGGCTTTTCCAGCACACCCCTCTTGGAGAATGTGTGGAGATTCCCCCCTGGAGTGGGGACACCCCTCAAGGCTACTCCTCAGGGCTGAGCCAAAGAGATTTGCCCACAGTTGTTGGTCTGGATGAGTAACACCATTCTCTAACTAATGCTTTTTGTTATCTTTAGTATAATTGCCCCAATGGAACAGCTTTAATATAAATGCTTCAATTTTGCTTCAAAAATAGTGCACTGTACTATACTAGTAGTTCTGGCTACCCATACTAGGTAGCAAATAATTCTGTTTAAGGCATTTTTAGTCTTATCACTAGCATGATAAATAACTTATTTCTATATAAATATATCTGGTTTGCCATCCTTTATCCTGCAGGACAAAGGACACCTAAAGGTTCATTCACCTTTGCTGTTGTTGTGCACATGCTGTGGGGGAGAAGTGGGAGTGCCTAAAAGAGGGTAACCATCAGTTCCCAGCCCAGCACAGAGCTGTGTCCCAGCCTGGTAGGATTTCCCCTTGTTTACCTTCTGAGCACTCACTGCTTTCATTGTTAGGCACTGACCTTGCAGCCACGACTTTGTAACCAAATAAAATGATTCAGCAAATGCCAGAAGAGCTGAAATTCACACCAAGGCTGTTGGCAGCTTAAAACCCAGCAGTAACAATGGGAGTGTGCCTCACCAAAGATGAGTGTCAGTGCTTTGGGGTTTTGGAGAGATACTAATGGGAAGGAATAAGCATTTTTCCACCCAACAGGCCTCCAGTCTTACTGTGGGATGGTGATATGAGTAATTTTTATTGCCCTGCATAAAAGCACTTTGAAAGCCTGTAAGCAGCCTACAGAGAGTGATTGTCCCTCTCCAAAAGCCCCCATAAAAATGAGTCAAAACCCTGTTTAAACTTAAAGGATGCCCTTGAGACCATTCACTCTGCTTAGGAGCTGCAGCCCTGACCCATTAAGATAAAAATAAATAGAGCTTATTTTGGGAAGACGGAAGTGGGAACCAGCCCAATCACCAGTGGGCCACTGCCAGCACTGAGCAGATGCTGTGTAAAGCTTGGGGTTATTGCTTTTTGTTCCATATACCTTCTATTAATAATTCAAAGTAAATGCAGTAAATTCTGTAATTCAAAGTAAATTCAGCAACCTTTCTGACTCACCACAATTGGCCCTGGCCTTGATACCGAGTAACATAGACAAGAAGGGATTTCTCGAAATACCTTGTATTTCCCAACTACAAAAAATCTCCAGCCCCCTGCTCTGGAGTCTGCAGCACCAGACCTGCATTTTAACCATATCCAGTAATAATGTAAAATAAACAAGACACAAACAAAATGATAAATAATTTCCCTACTCCTACCTTAAAGCCACAACTGAACTCCATGGCAGAGATCCTACAAGAAGGAACAGAACTGACATTTGATTTAGGAGCAATAAAAAAATCTGGAAATATAACTCACAGCTGGTGTACAGCAGGTAACTCAAACCTCACCTCAGGCAGCAAACAGGCCAGGTAACACCAGCAGACTCCATTTTTCACAATTTTTGATTTTTCAGGACTTTCTTTGCTCTCCAGCTTGCAAGCAAGAGCTTCTCAGGCAGGAAAATACACCAAGGAAGCTGAAAGAGATAGTAACAAGCTTGGCAAACTCAGCTTTCCACTGCAGCACACCAAAGCAAGAGGAAGAACATCTGATATAACCCCTAAATTAAGCTACCTGTAAGATGCTCTCAAAGCAGCCTCAAACCTGCTTCCTTAACAAACATCACAACTTTATACCCAGTGAGCAGCTGAGGGCTGGGTTTTTCAGCTCAGAGCTGGTGAAACTACTTCACCAGCATATGGAGAGAGGCCAAAGGCTAAGAGCAGTAATATTTAGCTTCATGTATTCCTGCAAATAAACCAGGATTAATTAGACCAGGCAACACTAACACCTCCCCAGCTCCCTCTGTGGGCTGGCACTCACTCTCAGCCTGTAATTTCCCACGTGAAAAAAGTTAATTCAGAATTACTATCTCTTTATAATAAGCTCCCAGGGCCAAGACTTAGCCCAACTGCACTGAACCTGTGGCTTCAGGGGCCAGCTGCAGATATTTCTCTTTGCTTCCTAATCAGAAGGAAACCTCCCTCACATTCCACAGCTGCACCCTATATAAGGGATGGGGCTCAGGCACTTTTGTTTTTCCTCGAATACTTGAGGGGAGGTTTTTTTTTTTATTATTTTCCATGCTCTCAAGAGCATGGAGAGCACTTGGAGGATTTGCGTCTGTTTGTCCTGCTGCTTGCCCTGGCTCTCTGCTGGCACCCAGCTCTCACCCCGCTCCAGGGGTTGGGAGGGCTCTGCGGAGGCCCCTGGGTTTTTGGCAGCTCCTGAGGATGCTGCGAGCCAGCTCAGCGCGGGGCTGCAGCTGCCCCAAGGCGAGGCACCGGCCCATGCCCTCCTGCCCCCCTTGCTGAAGGTGCTGCAAGACCGCGGTCCCCGGGGCTGGCACAGCGAGGCGCCGCGGCTGCAGCCGGACTCCAGGGCCCTTCGGTACATGAAGAGGCTGTACAGGATGTCAGCCACCAGGGACGGCATCCCCAAGGCGCAGCGAGGCCGCCTCTATAACACGGTGCGGCTCCTGACCCCGTGCTGGGAGTGCGAGCGCCGCCCCGCGCACCTGGGCAAAGGTAGGAGCGCGGCGCTGCTGGGAAGGGTACGTGGGGCTTCTGAGTCTTCTGTGCCGGCAGCACCAGATAAAAATACCTCCTTCCTTTAGAGCTGCTGCTATTTTAGTCCTGGAGGCTCTTCTCCTCAACTGGGGGAGGTTTTCATAGCCTATTTCTCTTTGAGTGGCATTAGATACAGACTTCATAGGCTGGGGAACACCACACAAGTGGTATGTACAAGACATGCTGATGTTTCGGGCTGACTCATCTCCTCATGAGCCAGAAAAAGCCACGAGCAGATATAAGTGAAGTAAGAAAAGTGGAAAAAATGTTGAGGCATAATGGGCAGCACATTTCCTACTACAGCCCATCTTGGCTTTGCTTTTTTCCAAGAATTACAGCACTGGTATGAAACTTCTACCAAACTGCCAGAAACCACTGCCAGAGATTCCTCTCCTTGCCTGCTACACTTGTTAGAGAAGAATCATGACCTAAACCTGAAGGGAAGAGTAGAGTTACTCTCAAATCAGGCTCAGAACTGGGATGGCTGGGCATACTGTAACTTATGGTGCTTCCATGGCTTTATTAAATGTGGGCCAATCACAACAGCACCTAGAAATTGTTGGCTAGAAAGACAGATACAAGCATTGTGCTGCTGCAGAGGAACAGCCCTTTAAGGTGGAGTTTATGGTTTGTATCATCTAGAGTGTTTAGGTCCTGTTACCCCACACCAGCACTGAAGAGACAACAGCTGGCTTTCTTTTGTGCTGGTTCTTTTAGAGAAATTAATCCTGTTAAAATCAGGGGTTTTCTTTGGTTTTTTAAAATGTCTTAATTTTTAACTTGTATGTCCCTGACCAAAGTAGAAATTTCGCATAGAAAATGTAAGGGAGGGCATAGAAATTGTTTTCTTATGCTGTTGAATAAGTTTTACTTATCCACTACAGCAGTATTTATGTCTAGGTGGAAAAATAAGACACATTAACACTACTGGAATCTGTTTCCCTTCCCAGGAGATGTTCACTCGGTGGATTTACTCTTCAACTTGGATGGTGTTACTGCTCTGGAGCACTTACTCAAATCTGTCTTGCTCTATTCCTTTGACACATCTGTTCCCATTTCCTCTTCCATTACCTGCATGTGCCATTTATCCCTTAAGGAACATGATTTTTCTAGCCAAGTCTGTCCCAGCATTTCCCACTCTCTAGCTTTTAGCCTGCACTTTGATGTTAGGAAACGCAAATGGGTGGAGATGGATGTGACTTCTTTCCTCCAGCCTCTGATTGCTATGAACAGGAGGAACGTCCATATGGCTCTGAACTTCACTTGTCTGATGGGTGACCCACAAGGGAGCACGAAACTGGATAACGCTGTTAATGTGACACTGGTTCCCCCTTCCCTTCTGCTGTACCTGAATGACACCAGCGAGCAAGCTTATCACCGGGGGAGCTCACTGGGGCACGGGAGGAAAAGCAGCAGCCCGCTTGTGGATCCAACAAAGGGCGACAGAGGACAAGGCAATCCCCAGGGCAAAAGGGCCTCTCGCCAGCGAAGGAACGAGAATCCCAAAGCGGCTCCGGCCACCTCAGCTCGTAACCTGAGCGAACACCTGAAGCAGCTCGTGTTCCCTCAGCACGAGTGCGAGCTGCACAGCTTCCGCCTGAGCTTCAGCCAGCTGCGCTGGGACCGCTGGATCATCGCCCCGCACCGCTACAGCCCGCAGTTCTGCCGGGGGGACTGTCCCCGCGCCCTGGGCCACCGCTACGGCTCCCCGGTGCACACCATGGTGCAGACCCTCATCTACGAGCGGCTGGACCCCTCGGTGCCCCGGCCCTCGTGCGTGCCGGCCGCCTACAGCCCGCTCAGCGTGCTGACCATCGAGCCCGACGGCTCCATCGTCTACAAGGAGTACGAGGACATGATCGCCACCAAGTGCACCTGCCGCTAGCGGGACCGGCTGCGGGCGGGGTTCGCGCTCCCGAGCTCGAAACGGGGCTCGCAGCAGAGCACTGATTTTTGTACTCGCTCAGCCTTTCTGGAACGTGCAATGAAATGTAAATAGTGTCTTTTTATCGGGAGAATTTTGCATTGGAAGTGGGGGAAAGGGTTCAACTACGAAATGTCTATTTTTAAGCTGATTTATTACAGATTAAGAAAAAAGATAAATAAATTACTATCACGTATACCCTGACATGAAGTGCCTGCTACTCTACCTCTACAGAAATCTTGTGTGTGGCATATCCAGCAATGACTAGGAAGGGGAGAAAGTCTTTAATATTAGAATAATTTCTTCAGTTTTTCATTATCTTTCCCCTACCACATTCCAGCTCTTCCAGGCACAGTGACAAAACCCTTCCTCACAGTTCTATAAAGAGTTAACAGGTTGTTTTTTTGCTTTTCTTTTGTTGCACTCTTTGGGCTTTCTCAGCTAAAAGAAGGGTAAGAATTTAAGGGCAGCTGTGGGTAATTTGTGAACACTTACATGAAAGCACTATTCTGGTAAAAATTGGCATCAGGTGAGGCTTTCTTTGATTTGAGAATAAGGAGCAGCTGTCCATGGGGTGAGGGCAGAGGATTGTCCACTGGAGTCACACAGCCACTGGCTTCTGATGTAGGAAGGTTTGTTTAAAAAGCTTAATCTCCAAAAAGAGCTTCTAAAAGCCTTAAATGTGTTGATGAAAATGCTGTTCAGTGGGCTTAATATTCTGAAATGTGGGACCACAGCTTTGTTTCCTCTCACAAACTGTAGGTAACAAGTGCCTCAACTCTAGATGCTTTCACACCAATTTTTTTACTGTAATTGATTTATTATTATTTATTTTCTCCTCCTGGACTTGGGGTTCATACACAAAACCTCTCGGCTTTAGTGGGGATTTTTCTGGTTTGCTTGTTAATTAAAGGATATGGAGCAGCACTATATTGTAAAACCTGCTCAGAACATCCTTTAACATTGACTTGCTAATGGATTAATGAATAAATGCTGTCACTTTCTGCACTCAGCCACACAACCAGCCCCTACCTGACATCCTGTGCAATTCCAGAGGCTGGGAACTCAGCCTGGCAGGGCAGGGACTGCCGAGTGGTGTCACGGATGGTTCACCTGGTCACTGAACCCAGGCGTGGTGGGGTGTCTGGAGAGCTCATGGAGGTGCAACAGGCACAAATCTGCCCAAAACGTGAGGCTCCTGCTCCAGGTTTCGGTCTCTGACTGCTGAAATCAAAGAGGCTGACACCAAAAGCTCAAAGCAGAATCCTGGTGTCACATAGAACCATCCTGGTGCCAGCACTGTGGGTGGTGGGGTCAGTTTGGATTGTATCACTCCTGCTCGTCCCTTCAAACTCTGGGAATTTGGCTTTGCTCACCTGCCAGAAAAGAAAATAAATGGAATTATTTACTGAGACAAACCCTTCTAATTATGGTGAAATGTCTAACGTAGCCCAATCATCCTAATATATTGTAATATTCCATCAATGGGTATAATCTTCAATATAGTATAATAATTCCAGTAATAATATGTTAAATATGTGTAATATATTGTAATAATACCAACAATGTTGAACCTAATATATTCTAATAATAATTCCAAAAATGCTGAAGATGTTTAACATATTCAAACAAAACTAATATATTGTAATATGAGTTTAAATAATGGGAAATATGTCTAATATAGCATAATGATCCAAATAAAGTTGAAGATGCCTAATACAGTCTAGTAATTCTACTATCATTCCAATCATGGTGAAAATGTCTAATATTCTAACCATTCTCATCTCTTCTAATAATAATTCCAATAATATTAAATATACATAACAATTCTAGTATCTTCTAATAATTCCAATTATGTGGAAGATGATTAATTATATTATATTAATTATAATAATTATTCATTAATGTGGAAGCTGAAACTGCTATAGTATTATAATTCTAATATATGCTAATTATAATTGCAATAATTATGATCTCTAATATAGTCAAATAATCATTTAAGTAAGTTCGATGTTGAATATATTCTATAATTCAAATAGTATGGAATATGTCTGATATAATCTAAAAATTATAATAGGCTCTATTAATCACTCCAGTAATACTGAAGATATCTAATACAGTCTAATAGTAATTTCAGTTATGTGGTAGGTGTGCCATTATTCTAATAATAATTCTATTATTGTTTATTGGGGGGTGGGGTGTGGCAGGATATTTAACCTTTAAAATCCTTTTCCAGCGCCAACTCTTCCATGATTCCACGATATTCTGCTTCAGACACTTCCGCGGAATTCCACAATCGCCACACAAAAGTGGGGTTTTTCCTCAGAATATTATTTATTTTCCATCGGAGCTCCACAATCACCACACAAAAGTAGGGTTTTTCCTCAGCATATTACTTATTTTCCTTGGGAACTCCATGATCGCCACACAAAAAGTGGAGTTTTTCCTCAGAACATTATTTATTTTCCATCGGAACTCCACAATCCCCACAAAAAAGTGGGGTTTTTTTCAGAATATTATTTATTTTCCATCGGAACTCCACAATCGCCACACAAAAGTGGGGTTTTTCCTCAGAGCATTACTTATTTTCCATGGGAACTCCACAATCACCACGCAAAAGTGGGCTTTTTCCTCAGAATATTACTTCTTTTTCATCGCAACTCCACAATCGCCACACAAAAGTGCGGTTTTCCCTCAGAATACTATTTATTTTCCATCGGAACTCCACAATCGCCACACAAAAGCGGCGTTTTTCCTCCATTATTTATTTTTGGCGGGTTTCCCGCGCTGAGGCACCGCCCGCCCCTCACGGCGCAGGTGCCTCGCGTGCCCCCCCCCATTCCCCTCAGGGCAGGTTCCGCTTATGGCGCAAATCATTTATTACAAATCTGTTAAAAACACACTTTAGCACAACTGCGCTTGCTCGCCCTCGCATTCCCCGGCCTGCCCCGTTCATTACAGGCGGAAAGCGCAGCTGGCGGTGCCCCGGAACGCCTCGCCGCGGCAGTTCCGGGGCGGGCGGCGGCCATCGCGCGGTGACCGAGGGGACGCCGCGGCCATGGGGAAGCACTTCGGGAACCTGGCGCGGGTGCGCCATGTCATCTCCTACAGCCTGTCGCCCTTCGAGCAGCAAGCCTTCCCCAATGCCGTGTCCCACGGCGTCCCCAACGTGGCCCGCCGCTTCGCCTCACAGGTGTTGAAGGTGGCGCCCCGTGAGTACCGGGGGGGGGAATTCTCTCTTTTTTGTACCCCCTTCGTAGTGTAAATTTGGGCAGGGGGAGCATTGGGGCAGGGGGGGTTGTGGGATGTTGTTGTGTCGCAGGAGGTTGGTGCTGTGCGCGGTGCAGTGTCCCCTCACTGCGATATTCCCATACTGTGAATATTCCGTCCTCCCAGTGTCCCCGTGTTGTGAAATCCCCTTATTGCAGTGTCTTTCTATAGGTGTCCCGTCATCGTGTGCCACTTCATTGCA